TCAAATATCTGAGCCGTGGGCTATCATGTTTAGTGTTCATTGCAAAGAGATGAGGTCACCAAGAAATACAAAGCAAAGAGCCAAAGAGATGAGGTCACTCACCGGAAACAAACGACGATGTGGAGACTTGGTGAAGGAAAAAGAATGGTGACCGCGATTGGTGATTGCCGACTGTTGAGCAACAGATCGGTGAGCAAAGATCGGCGGTGTGAGCAAAGATCGGTGGCTACTGGCTGAGGCGTGACTGCGTGACTCCGGCATGAGAAGTGAGAACACAAATCTGAGAACTGAGAGTCCGAGAGAGAGTGAGAGACTGAGACTGAGTCACTGAGACTTTGAGAGTGCGAGAGACCGAGAGTTACTGAGGTGAGCGTCTGAGTATCGGCGCGACTGAGTCTGAGTAGTGAGGTCTGAGATCTGAGTACTAGAGTAGTGGAGGCGTGGAGCTGCCGAGTGAAGACTGAAGTGAGCGTTGGAGTGTTAGAGTGTTACAGTTAGTGTAGTGACTTAGTGAGTGTTAGGGATTGCAAAATAAAAAACTAAAATATAATTTTTTAAAAATTTTGGTTCAAAAAACCAGTTTTGGGTAACCAGAATTTATTGTGTCAAAAACCGAAACCGAACCGGATTTTCGGTTTTTTTTTAATATCCGAACCGAAACCAAAAAAAAAAAAAAAAACCGGATTTTCGATCCGGTTCGGTTTTCAGGTTTTTTTTCCACCCCTACTATAGGCTTGGCAACACCGCAAGCATATATGTAGCTTCGATCATGATTGTATCGATATTCTATATTTTTTGTTTAAAGTGTTGAGAAATGATTGACATATATACAAACACAATATCTCTCTTAGGTATTGTTTCATACTATTGTATATTTCTTTAGGGTTATTTCTACTTTCATTCTTAAAAGTTTAGAGTATATTTACTTAGCTTCAATACTACGAGATACGAACACTTTAATCCAATCAAGCAATTGTCGATAGTTATTCTACTCTTAAATAGAGATTTTTTAATAAAAAGTTTATAATACCCTTATTGTTTTATTTACGTATTATTAAAAACAAATAAAATATATAAAAATAAATAAAAATTATTCGGTACACCTTAAAAAAAAAAAAAAGTTGTTAAAAAAAAAAAAAAGTATTTCATAGAAGTAATAAATGATATCCAAATATAAAATGGATCAATTTTGCATGATTTATAACAAACACGGGTATTATAAATTGTTTATTTAAAATTCTCAATTAACCATTAGAATAACTAATGACAATTGTTAGATTGGAATGAATTGTTCGTATCTCATAATATTAGAGTTAGATAAATATTTCCAAACGTCAATGATGAAAATACAAATAACCATTTTTCTTTTAAGGTATTATAAAGCATGGTTATTAATGTCATATGATATGCTATATGTATACAATTTGATACGAGTTGCCAACGATACGTATCAGAGGGTATATCATAAACCTTTTGATACGTTGAAAGGTATCTTACGATACGATACGTATCAGTTTGTATCCTTAAAAATATCGACATAAATTGATACGACTTTATTAATTTGGGCCGAATGCCCACAAATTTTTCTAGTTGGGTCGAATCCAGGTCACCCAATCTGATACACTAAAACCTGCCTAAATTTACCCATTTTGTATTAAGAAAGTGAAGAGAAAGATGTGTTGCCCATTTTGCATGATAATAATAACACAAGTAAATATATAAATATTGACATTGATCTTATAAATGATATGAATGGTTGATAGAAAATGATATAGATTCTTAATTTTGTGATTAATTTTGATTATGTAATACTATAATTTAAAGCCAATAATACCACAAAATGCATTAATTAATTTTGAGGATTATATTAATTTTTAGAAAAAAAGTATTATTTTATTTATATATTTTTTTTTGAAAAAGATGTATCTTACAACATACGATACTCGATTCAAAAAATTAAGTTTTTGATATATGATACGATACGTGATTTGATAATCATGGTATAAAACATAAGAGTGTGTTTTTGAAAGAGATACAAGTTTTGGTAGTTTGAGTTAGAAAAAATGTAGTAGTTTGAAACACTTAATTTGTTGAAAGAGCAAAACTGGTTGTTGTTGATGAGTTGAGACCAATCCTCTCCAACATCTTGTACAGTTAACTAAGAGTAAGATCTAATCAACAGCCGAATAAAGCAAAGGCGATTTGAAAAAGGAAAAAAACAAAAAAAAAAAAGGGCAAAGATACGTAAATAAAGAAATGTGCGGTAGCAACCATGTCATATAGGACAAAAATAGTTATTTGAGTGAGTTAATCACAAGGGTTAGATCAAGATAATATATTTAAATAAAGCAACCCAAAGATTGCAAAAATATTAGTCTCAAATATGAAGAGAAATATTGAATACCATCTCTTTTTAAAGAATGTTTTCTCAATGTTTTCTTGGTTTATTGTATATGTCACACAATGAGGTTGAAAGGTCTTCATTTTTTTATTTTTTTTTATCATTGGGGGTATCCGACTAGTTTGTACGTACTTCAATTAATTTTTCGATATCTTAAAACTGTCAGTCAGATAAGAGTTCCAATAAACCCTTATTAGTACTTAAGGAAACTTAAACTTAGGAGCTCATGAAACTTTCTTTTATTTTTTACCATTAATCCACCGAGTGGTGATTATGAAATTGAAAGGTTGATAAAAAAAACAAAAATGTAAAAGAAGATGTTTTAAGCATTTTTCCAATCTTTAATCTAACCTAAACTAAATTTGTATAAATTCTTTATATATGTAATATAATTCTTAGAACTTTATAAATAAGACTTTGTATAAATTGTTTATATGTGTAATATAATTGTTAGCATTTTATGTTTGTAATTAAGAAGATTAAAAAGGAGTTGATGACTTAGAATTAAGATATAAAATTGAATATTCCAATCAACTTTACACTGACCATTGGAAATTCAGCACATTTTCCCTTAACCAAATATGAAATATCGTCTCTTCCATATATGGGTATGTTAATATTTGTGAACCACCATTATCATTAATCAATTTTATCTTCTTTTTGGATTTTATTCTTCTGAATATTTGACTTTATAGTGGATAATATTTTCTAAATTCAAAGATTAAAAAAATAATTTTACCAAAACAAATTAAGTCAATTAGTCGTATTAATTATTCTCGTCCTCCGTTGGCTGTGATTTGATAAAGAAGGTCAATGGTCGGCCATTAGCTTATTATTTTCCATTAAGTGTCAAGGATCTGATAGACCGTCTGATCTTTTGATATCTAATATTTGACCATTGATTCCATTAATTGGTCCTACGTGGTTCCCCTTCAGGAAGCTGCTCATTACTTTTTTAAGTTTCAAATTAATGGTTTCCTTGGTTAATCATTCTTAATTATCCATGTTAAACATTGATTAACAACATAACTATAACATTACACAAAAGAGAATAATATTAATCTTTTAGTTAGTCAATTGTGTTTTAAATGTTAGAATTTTAATTAAATAAAATTATTGATTGATCCTACACTTTTAATAATTTGTAGTTTTAGTGAACGAGTAACTTTTGAACAGTTACATGCAATTACTTTTTATTGATAGTTGTCTCTAATGGAAAGAAAACTACATATATAATGGGAGAAGTTATAGTTCCCTATTAATGTTAATGCAATTTTAACCCAAAAACTATCGCACTAGGAATTAGAGTTAATTGGAAGATTCAGTAAAATTTCAAAGAGACAGAAATATGAAGATTAAACAACAATTGCCATGGAGGGAGATTAGTAATAAAATAAAATTACTTCCGCAATGTTTAATGAGTGTTTGTAACATGTATATAATTGATAAATTGTGAATATATACATGTGTTGATGGAATTAAAATAATTTGTTTTCCATTGGAATTAAATCATTCTTAATTAGCAAAATTAAGGATTAATTCATAAGCACTACAAATTATAATAAGAAAAGAAAATGAATACAATAATTAATCTTTCAAGTTGAACTAAATTTGATTTAAAAATAATTTTTACTTTCTTTATATTCCAATTCAATAATCTGTAAAACTTCTTAGATTAATTAAAAAAAATAAATTTTAATAACAAAGAAGTTGATTATTATTTGTTTGAGTATAAATATGAAAAAAATTGCTAGTAAAAAAATATTATGAAGGATTTTAAAACAAGAAAATTGTGAAACAAAATGTAAAAATAAATAAGGGAACAAAATGATAATAATAAAAAAGGAGTAACAGAGATAGTGAAGGGCAGGGTGCAATAATCAAGCATGTGGGTGAAGTGAGTAATTAAAATAGGGCCACCATATTTGAATTGAAATAATTTTAAGTTTCTTAAAAAAAAAAAAGACAGAAAACTGGAGTCAGTGAGTGAGGTACTTATTGGCCAACATGTTTGCAGTTAAAAAGGACCACCTGTCTGCCTTTGCTTCACTGTCATTCACATTCACATTCACATTTACATTTACCTGTAGCTGTACGGTTAGCAGTGTTGTGTTGTTGTTCAAACATAAGCCTGTAGTAAAAGTTAAAAACGTAATCTATTGTCGCGTGAGAGAGAGAAATGAGAATGTTACGATTACCAATCTCATAATAATATATACTAATTCTAATTATCACTTTCTTAAACATATTTAATCACCCCTAATTATTTTTTCCAACCGCCCTTCTCATTTTGTTTTTAATTTAATACATATTTTCCATATGGTTTTGTATATTTTTTTATTCATTTTACGAACCTCAAATCTTTAATTTCAAGTAAAAAAATAAAATTAATAGCTTGAATCAAATAATTTAGATTTATTTTCCGTAAATAATAGATATTTTTATTAAAACCAAACCATACGACGTCGTCTCTTCCCATCCTCATTTACATATGTATATAAAAGTATAAAATTGAAATTTCAAATAAAATAAAAAAGTAAATAACTATTTATTTTATTACTTTTTTAATTTTCATATAAAGTATCTATTACTACCATCTCTCAGTTTATATCACCATTACTGCCGATCTCTATTTTTTCGAAGCTCTCACCAAATTTTCTTTTCTCTTTTAAACAGAAAACACAGCCTCAAAACAAAATTCCCCTACAAGATCCGACCAGATCTAAACCCTTTGTCTCTCGCTGTACCTGTAAATGTTTTTGTATATATTCCTCGATTCATCTGTGTCAATTAACCTAAACATTTCCCCCAATTCTAGCGCTTAAAATTAGGGTTCCGCCGATACTTCCATAATCCCTCCAATTTTCCCCCAAATTAGAGGTTTTTCTTCCGTTGAACAAATGTATCAGATCATGAGCTAGGTTTTTGTTCCTCAAATTCGCATCTTTTTTCTTTTATAGACTTTTCAAGTGCATGAAGATTTGGTGCTGCTTATGCTTCACCGAGGACGACGAAGACGAAGATAAGAAGAGAATGGCGCTAATCGACGACGACTCGGATGGTAGTATCGGAAGTGACGAAGATGTGCAGATGCAGTTTGGGCTTGCACTGGAGATGTTTGAGGAACCGCTACAGAGGCCGTTCCCCGACTTGATCACTGTGTTGCGTGAGTCTGATGACATGGGGCCACCGGTTAGGAGGGCTCCCAGGTGGCGCTCGTTGATTCGCGAGCCTAGGCGGTATGAGGGCGAGAGTAGTAGTAGTGGCGTAGGCGTCGGCGATGGGGGCTCGGGTCTTGCAAACGACGATTTACATCATAAGCGTGCCAAAGTGTTTTCTACTTCTCCTCCGTGAGTCACTCACACTCTCTGTGTGTTTATAACTTGTATTGTCAGTATAAAGTTTTTCTGTTTTAGTCTGATTTTAGTATATGTTTTTTGGTATAGTGATCTGTGTTTTGTCCTTAGGGTCACAAAATTGATAGGGATTTATGTTTGAAGTTCACAGTGATATTTTGACTGGGATAATTTGATATTCTATGATAAAAGTACATTTTTTTAAAACTGTTTCCAGGTGTCATTATGGAACAGCAATGCTTTCTGACCCTGGGGGTCCTAGTTCATTGCGAGACAAAAGTTGTAACATTAGGATGGGGTCTTTGGTTTCTCCCGCTAATGAAATCTTGTACCACAATTATATTTGGAATAATACCGGTGATGAGAGTCCCTTTGACCCTACCGGTGGAACAGGTGATGGAAAAGAGAATGGTACCTCAAAAACGGAAGATTTTGAAGTCCGGATGGATCTTACGGATGACTTATTGCATATGGTAGGGGCATTTCTTTTTGAAGAATTCTTCATCATAGTTGTTTTTGTTTTTTAATTGTATGTAGTTTCAATTTGCGTTCTCTATTTCTTCCCCAGGTCTTTTCTTTCTTGGACTATGCTGATCTTTGTCGTGCTGCTATTGTTTGTCGGCAGTGGAGAGCAGCTAGTGCTCATGAAGATTTTTGGAGATGTTTGAATTTTGAAAATAGGAAGATATCTATTGAGCAATGTGAGTTTATTTGATACACCTTTGTTAAACTGTTTTTTTCATTTTTCTTTTTCAATTCTTTAGAAATTGTGTGAGGATGGGAGGACGTTGCAATGTAAACTAAAGCATTAAGTTGGTGTTCTTGAGAAAAGTAGTATTGCTTAAAGAGTCTTTTGCAATTATGCTCAAGAAATCATAGTTGGGGTCAAAACTGTGTGGTATAACGACTTAGTGCCTATGTACCGATATTGTCCAAAATTTCCTTGAGAAACCAATCAGGAAATTGGATTTTTTTAATTTTTAAATCTGAGAACATATCAGTGGCAATTTGGAGTACAAAAATATGTTTGGTAGTATAAATGGAAACACATTTGTTGGGCAAAAAATCACTAGTGGAACTTTCTTGGAAATGGTGCCTATATGGATGAGCTTAAGAGGGATCTGGTGGGGCTTTTGAGTTTGTTGATTACTTGGTTGCCTATTTTGGTTTTGGATATGGTTGTTTGGATATTGACGGTGGTATATTGTAAGAGGAAAGGAAGAAGAATCAAACTACAGAATTGATCTTGGTCATTGTTATGGTTTCCTGAATTTTTCTGTTCCTTTTCTTTGTTCCAGTATACTGTTTCTTGATTAAAGAGAGAGGGTTTTGAGGGGATTAGGTTTTTGAAAGAGGAGCGTTGTTGGGAGAGGTTGGAAGGAAAACAAAGATTGGAGTTCGTTTCCAGTGTTTTGTCTTTTCTGTTATAGAAGAGAAATGTAAACTTGTTTCTGAGGTTTTTGAGACTTATTTTAATGAGTGGAAAGTAATATGTTGTTTGTTAAATCCCTTTTTGCAAAAAAATTGCCAAACAATTACTTCAATTACATCTCAGATACATGCAGCACTCTACCTAGAGTTTGTGAGACCTATGAACCGACCATTGAAGCTGCCAACTTTCAAATCTTCATGCATGCAAGGATTGATTGTCATTTTCTTTCTTCAGCAGATATACTTTCAATTTATACACAATGTTCCTCCACTTTTTCCCAAATTATTTTTTTGTTACTTCATATTTCATTGATTATTCAATTTACATCAAGCACAAAATTACACCTAATTAACAAATTGTTAAACACTTGCATGCACTTTTGGAGGAATAGTTTGTTAAAATTACTCATGGAAATTGAGTAATGAGCTTTAATGGGAAACAATTATGGATTTATGAGACTGATGTCTAAAGGCTTCGTAGGAGGGTTATAGAAGGCTAATGTTGGGAAGGTTCCAGGTCATTGAGTCTTGGCACTTTTGTAGTGTTAGCTTGGAGCTAGGTTTCGTGAGCTTCATTTATTGATTCTAATAGTTTCTCTAAGTATATATGTTCTTGTGATGGTAGCGGTTGAGAGCTAGTTTTTGGCACTATCTTTTCTGTGGTAAATTTCCCTTGAAAAGTATCTTTCTCAAATTTCTGTTTCTTGACAGTGATAAGGAGTCAATTTTGGCAGACTACAGAGGTGGTGTAGTAATGGTTCATATTGGAGTCAACAATTTGTTAAAGCAATAGTTTGAGTCTTTGTAGCATTTTTCAACCTTGTATGCTCTATAAATGTAAGAAGGGTCGGTTGAAGCGGAATTAGGAGGTCAGCATTAGTACTTCGGTAATTCAGGTAATGTTTTTCATGGACAACTGGATAGAGTGCATTATCACCAACCAAGGCATTTTATTTTTTGGCCAGACCACTGTATGGAAGACTGGCACAGTGGATATGCTTGTAATGCGTCAGCATATCATTGCTGGTCGGTGTTCTATGTGTAAGAAAGGTGGTGAATTTGAGTATTATCATTTGCATTGTGCATTTTTCAGAAGAACTTTGTTCTTTATTCTTTTGTTGGTTGGAATTGACTGGGTCATGCAAAAATAGTGATTGAAATGCATGAAGAGAGTTGTATGATGGAGTGTGGTTCCTATCTTCTCTGTGACCAACTATAACAAGGGAATTGTGGGACAAATGATTCTTTCTAAACCTGAATTGGGAGGGTTTATTATTTGAGTTCTGTCTATTTTGGGGTATTTATGTCCTGGAAGATCTTTTTGTCACAGAAAACCATGTTTCTAAAATATTCTAGATATGAGCAGTTTAGTTTCTTTAAATATTCGAGTGAGACTCTTTAATGCTGCTCTTGGTTTTTGTGGACGACATGTTGACGCTTTTGTTAATCACTCTACATGCTAATTAAGTCTTTTATTTCTTATAAAAAGAAGCTTATTAAATGGTGAGATCTGGGGAGCATAGACTCTTGCAACATGGAGAACTGTTTTTATCACATCTTATGTGGAGTTATATGTTGTGAATAAACTATTTTATTTTTGAAGTTAAAGAACTTCCAGTAACTTTTGAAGTTATGAAACTTCCAGTTACTTTTGAAGTAATGGAACTTCTAGTTTTGAGATCTTTGAGCTTTTGGATGTCACCTTTTTGTTTCTTTTCTCATACAGAATTCTATGTTTCCTGACTGCTATTGGTCTTAGATGATAATTTTGTAGTTTTATGCTTATGGTTATTTCTTTTACTTTCTATTAGGCCCTTTGGATTCTGCTATAATATTTTTTATTGTTTAAAATATGTATGGACATATGTTTATGAACGAATTGCTACTATTTGATAGCGGTTTGGAATCTGATTGGAAATATAGAAATTGCCAAATTAGTGACTTTGCTAACGCAGTCAAAAAATTGATAAGAGTGCTTCAGATTCTGTAGTTTTACATATGCTTGAAAGCTATTGATTTGATCAATAACGGTAATCTTATGTATGAGCTTTCAGAAATTGTTCTTCAATGACTATATGTAATTATAGCATGAAACTTTAATTATGGTTTATTTTAGCTATGGCTTAATCAACACTGATTTAGCTTGATGAATTAATGATCTTATTTATTTTTTTATTTTTTATTTTTAAAATATTTGTATCATATCTAAGTTGCCACAGCCTGTTTAAGTATGTTCTTTTCATAATTTAGAGATAGCGCAAATATCTTTTATTTATTTGGTTTATTGTTAAACTTATGGCAGAATTACTCATTGGTCATTATATTTTCAGTTGAGGATGTGTGTCGGCGATATCCAAATGCTACAGAAGTGAATTTATATGGTGTACCTGCTATGCACTTGCTTGTCATGAAAGCGGTATTATTGAGGTAGTTCTTTTATTACATTTGGTGTTGCTGTTGTCTTTAGATGAATATTCATTGCCTTGGATGCTTAATTTTTATGAAATCGTTTTGTGTTCTCAGAAACCTTGAAGCCTTAACTTTGGGGCGATATCAAGTGGGGGACACTTTTTTCCATGCATTAGCAGATTGTAGTAAGTTGAAGAGATTAAATGTCTATGATGCTACTCTTGGTAATGGTATTCAGGAGATACCAATAAACCATGATCAATTGCGTCATCTTGAACTAACGAAGTGCCGAATGATGCGTGTATCCATCAGGTGGAGCAATGTTATTATATTGAGTGGTTATTTACTGTCAATCTTGTCAATATTTGTTCTAAAAGTATCTTTGTAGGTGCCCACAACTTGTGCATTTGTCCTTGAAACGGAGTAACATGGCACAGGCGGTGCTTAATTGTCCCCTTTTGAGTCTCCTTGATATAGTTGCTTGCCACAAGCTTTCTGATGCAGCCATTCGTTTGGCGGCCACTTCATGCCCTCAATTAGAATCATTAGATATGTCAAATTGTACATGTGTGAGTGATGAAACACTCCGTGAAATAGCCCTCCATTGTGCTAATCTTCATATTCTCAATTCATCGTACTGCCCAAATATATCGCTTGAGGTCAGTCATTATGTTATAGGCGGTTGGCATTTTTCTTTGTATTATTCGGATGTTCTTTTATTTGACACGCTTCTGTGTTTCTTCTTTGAAGTCTGTCAGGCTCCCCATGTTAACAGTTCTTAAGCTTCACAGCTGTGAGGGTATCACATCAGCTTCAATGGCTGCGATATCTTATAGTAATATGTTGGAGGTTTGAATTCTAATGCTTTATTTTTCAGGTGTTTCCCCATGTTAATTGCATTCAACATGTCAAAACTAATACAATAAATTTTTGCAGGTTCTGGAGCTTGATAATTGCAACCTTTTGACTGCTGTTTCTTTGGATCTTCCTCGTTTGCAGAATATAAGACTAGTACATTGTCGCAAGTATGCTTGGCTACTCCATCTAAATTTTCATTTAGTTCTTCTCTGTCCCAGAGGATTTCCTCAGTTTCTTTGTATCTAAATTTTATTCTCTTTATCTATTTCTATTTTCTTGCAGATTTGTTGAATTGAATTTGCGAACTATCATGCTATCATCTATAAATGTGTCAAATTGTGCTGCTCTCAACCGCATTAATGTTATGTCAAACTCTCTTCAAGTATGTTTCTGAAGGAGATATTGTATCTTTATTGTCAATTCATTAATGTTTATTTAATTGAGAGATTTCTGAGTGGTTTTGTGGAAATGCAGAAATTATCATTGCAAAAGCAGGAGAACTTGACAACATTGGCATTGAAGTGCCAGAGTCTGCAAGAAGTAGACCTTACAGATTGTGAATCGTTAACAAATTCTATTTGTGAAGTGTTCAGTGATGGTGGTGGTTGCCCCATGTTGAAGTCTTTAGTTCTTGATAATTGTGAGGTTTGTGAATAGGCTACTTCAACATGTGTGTTATGCGTTGTTTAATGTTCCCATGTTTGGCATATGCATGGAAAGATGCCTTCGTACTTGCTCATGATATTCATCATGCTTTTGTCATATTTTATTTTTATGACTGTTACTGCTAAACCCAAAAGCTTAGACTAATAGGTTAGGGCCTGAGAATGGTAATAGAGCCCTAACAGTACCTATCACATGCAAGATTTGATGATTGAACACAACTAGAATCACAACAACAGATACACACAACAAAATTTAATTAATTATAATGAGGACATTGAAACACAAGTCCACTTGGTCAACCTGTATCTGATACTATAAAAGCAAAAGCTTAAGCTAGAGTTATGGGCCACCAATATATTTAAGCTCTAGTTATTTTGTTCTGAAAAGTTTCTATGTGAAGAATATGGTTTTGATAGCATTGTTATGCCTTTGTCTTTAATGTGTGTCTTGTTGGTTTATATGCATGAACTGTCAAACTGATGCCTTCTGACTTTTTCATGATATTCATGGTTTCGGAAAGTTATCCACATGAAGAAGTTGGTTTTGCGAGTGGTGTACTAGTGTTGCATCATTGTCTCTTGTATATGATCATTTGTATTAAATATTTTCTTAAATTTTTTATCAAATAAATAAACAGAATTTTTTATATATTAATTTACTGCATTTTTGGGTTAAGATAAACTTAGAGTAACCTTGTTAACTAAATGGAAAACAACTGTGTAAAACCTTGCTGCGCATTTACTGGAAATTGTTATTTTATCAGCATTGAAGATAAGATTTAAAAACAAGAGATATCTTAGGCTTGGGTGGGGAAAAGATGCATAAGTATATCTAGCTTGATATGATAGGTTCACATGCTGAATTTAAGTTTTCAGAAATTAACATGCACCATTGTCTGTGAGTTGATATAGTTTTGGTTGCCCTGAGTATATCTAGCTCCCTTTTTGTGTTGCACCGAGCAGGTATATTGATTCTATAATACCACTTCTAATGACTTATCTGTTATGGTGTCTGACTGAATTTTACTTTTTCCAGGGCTTGACAGCAGTGCAGTTCTGTGGTACATCTTTAGTCAGTCTCTCTCTTGTTGGTTGCCGTGCTATCACATCTCTTGAACTAAAATGCCCCAATCTTGAGAAAGTCTGCTTAGACGGTTGTGATCATCTTGAAAGAGCATCTTTTTGTCCAGTAAGAATGATTGCACAGTTGCCTTTCCTGCTTGAATACACATGATATATTTCTTTGTTTGTACCTTTTTTTCTAGATTTAGTTCTTCAGTGGGAGTGGCAAATTCTTTGAATTGATACTTCTAGTTCTGATAATTCTAATTCCCAAATTCAAACCTGTCTAGTTACCATATTGATTTAAATCGCTCATTTATGAGCATGGGGAGTATTTTAGATTTGATAAATGTTGAAATCAAAATTGATTACAATATCAATGTATTGATTGGGTCCAAGTAATGTTAAGAACTGAAAATGTTCTCCATGTTCTCATCTCTTTTTTGCAGGTTGCTCTCCGATCACTCAATCTGGGTATATGCCCCAAGTTGAACTCACTTGTTATTGAAGCGTCAAGTATGGTGGTGCTCGAGTTGAAAGGATGTGGTGTATTGTCAGAAGCGTCCATTAACTGTCCTCTTTTAACATCTCTTGATGCTTCTTTTTGCAGGTGTGTTGTATATAGTATCTTCTTTGGTGGCTCCTTTTGGTTGTGCTGTGATTAACATCTTTTTTCATTTTCTATGCAGTCAACTTAAGGATGATTGCCTGTCTGCAACTACTACTTCATGCCCACTGATTGAATCATTAATACTTATGTCATGCCCATCTATTGGTTCCGATGGACTTTACTCATTGCAATCACTTTCAAATTTGACTATGCTTGATTTATCATACACTTTCTTGACGAATTTGCAGCCGGTTTTTGAGTCTTGTTCACAACTGAAGGTAAGGTTTTATTTTCTTGTTTTCAGATAGATGCATGATTCTACTGCTGATATGTGGCCTTTTATCACTTTGTGTACTAATGGATATAGGCCAGCACCTAGTAGAGGTTTTTTGCTTTTCTATTCTTCTCATATAATGTTTCTGTGCTATTTTACATTTGTATAAAAAATCCTTTTTAACTTTTTGTAGCCTATTTCAAATATGGGCATGGTTTTTCTGTTTCATTTTGGTAGAAGTTGGTTTCATAGTAGTTTATAGATCCTGGGTATTGTTTTTGTGTTGTTCATTTGTATTGGATCTTTTGCTGGTTAAGTCTGATGTCGTTATCAATGTTGTTTGATTATTAAATGAACTAAACCATAGGTGTACATAAAGTGCTCTGTTAGTTTCGAAAGTTTATCCTATACATTGTGCCCTAGTGATACTCAGACATTGGACAAAACCCAGAGCCTCATATTTTCTGTGCCTTGTCAATTCAATCATATTTGTGCTTTAGTCTGAAGATTATTTTTGAGTTTAAAAGCTAATACCATTTAATCCTTTTACTTGAGGAGGATTTTGCTTATGTTACCAATGTTTTGCCTTCTTTATCAAATACTTGTCTAATATAGCAATACTTAGTTCAATTGCTGAGATAGGAGCTTCTTTGTTTCTTATTCTGCACCCTTCTTTGCTCTTTTATCGGCTCTTAATTTTCTGTTGTTCTTTAAGGTGTTAAAATTACAAGCATGCAAGTATCTCACTGACACATCATTGGAGCCTCTTTACAAGAAAGCTTCACTCCCATCTCTTCAGGAATTGGACTTGTCTTATGGGACCCTTGGCCAGTCAGCTATTGAGGAGCTTCTTGCATACTGTACACACCTCACTCATGTTAGCTTGAATGGTTGTGTAAATATGCATGACCTGAATTGGGGTTCTAGTGGTGGTCATTCTCTGGAACCAACTGTATATGGCTCATACGGGATATTTTCTCAAGAGAATGTCCATGAATCAATGGAGCATCCTGATCGTTTGCTGCAAAACCTCAACTGTGTAGGTTGTCCAAATATTAGGAAAGTTCTCATTCCACCCCAGGCACGCTGTTTCCATCTGTCATCATTGAACCTTTCTCTGTCTGCCAATTTGAAGGAAGTTGATGTTGCTTGTATCACCTTGTGCTTTCTCAATTTGAGGTATGTATTAACCTTTTTCTTGGTTTACCTTATCATTTATATTCTCTATTATGCACTAATATTTTATGTTATTCAGCAACTGTTGATCATTGGAAACATTGAAGCTTGCTTGTCCAAAATTAACAAGCCTGTTTCTTCAGGTATGCAAATTTGCCTCCTGTAATCGAAATCATTTATTATTTGGACTTGTCTTTGCAAATAGACTACTTTGTGGTGTTTGTTTTGTGGCTTTTGTTCTGGNACACAAATGGCAAGATCTTCCTATACTGGAACAGGAATAGATGAATGGAATATAGACGGATTAGCTGAACACCAAATATTAAATATTTTACAAGAAATGACTATGGCAGCATTAGCTCATAAATCATATGACAACACTGATCATCAAATAGCAAAAATATTAGTCTCAGGATATGGATAATTTATTTGAAGGTGCTTGATTATTTTTTTACATGTTGATCATCAGTTACTTTGCCATAAAGTTCATTGATATGGATAATTTTGGATCCACTTTCTGATAGATTTGTGTACTATCAAATTGCTAGAATTAGAGAATCTAGACTAGTTTCTTTCTGGGGGCGCTCTCTCTACCCCATTATTCATCATGGAAAAGCTGTGTCCTGTTTTGTTCTGAATTATCTTACTATCAGTGTCATATTTATATACTTATGTGCATTATTTTTACTTCAGCCTTATTTCAGTCATTATTAAGATTCATTCATTGCGTCATTACTCTGTGCTTTTTTTTTTTTTTTCATTGCATGATACTATTCCCATTTGACACCGTTTCTTAATCTTTTGTTGCAACTGGGGCCTCTATTAGTCTTGTAACATCAATGAAGAAGCGGTCAAAATTGCCATATTGCAATGTAGCATGCTTGGTTTTTTATCTTTGACAAAACTTGTCCAAAAACTTTTCCAAAATGGTTCCAAAAATGGTTTAATTTTTTCGGTTTAAATGAACAAATCCTCCCACCTTCGATTTTGGAAGGATATCAATTATTTGCCAAAAATTTCAACAACAGTATAAAGATCCCTTACTTGCATTTTCTAGTAATTTCTTACTTGCCTGGATAATGAGTTGGCAATTTCATATCACTACACCTCCTCCTCCAAAATTCAAACAATTACAAAGAAAATTCCTTATTAAATGGTGGCCTAGTTTTTCCATCCAAAATGTTAGTCCACCAGCTGTGCAGATATAGATTTCTCAACACCCTCAAATATGTCAGCCTCAACAACAATCAACATTTCTAACACAAAAGTCAAAACTTCTAGCTGAGCTAGCTCAGTGCCAGACCCCACAAGATATGGACAAAATTATAATAGCCATCGGATCTTCCTCTTCTCAAAAGGTAGATTCAGACAAAACCAAATCTCCAAGTCATCAAGATGAGGATGGCTATTTTGTCATGTTCCAAAACTAGATGGATTATGAGTTCAATAAAAGACAATAACTCAGCACTGAATGACTCAGCACTGCCTTTTTTCCAATTTTCAAAAGTTGCAGCTTGATATTCAAGACTTTTGGCAATGACAAAATTTTATCCAGCCAACTTTATCACTTGTCAGAAGCAAAAAGCAACATTGTCAAAATTTTCTCTACAAGAATTGAAGACATCCATAAGACTTATCTTTTTCCAAAGTATACAATTGTTAAGCTCCCCTGACAACAAACAAGATTTTTCAAGAGTCCATTAATGAGCATTATCCTTTGTCTACCATTTTTAGAGTAGGTCCCCAATAATTCAAGACACATATCCAAGACAGCTCATCAATTATCAACAACTTTATCTTTTAGTCTACATTGTAATAATGTAACGGATTCAAATTCTAAAGTTCTTCTAGATTAAAACCTTCTAGATTTCTATAACCCTTAAATTAATCAAGAAATAAACAGTGCACGGATGAACAGCAATCTACAGCAACTGCTACAGTGCATGAATAGTAACAGTGAACAGTGTTTTTGAACAATAATTTGCTATAGTGACTACGTTTTATGGCTGTTTTTTTGTGCAGTTTTTAATTTCTAATCACTACTTCTATTGACTCTACTTGGCTCTGATACCATATATAGTAGGATCTTTAAAAAACAAAGTACTTGAAAGAAAACAATGTAAGTGAATGAATTAAAAGCAAAGTAAATGCATTTGTAACGCCCCACTTGAGGTATGTAGCTAATGTTCCTTATTTTGCTCTTATTTGAGTCGGTTTATTATTAGTATTGTTTGGTTGGCCCTTAGTTGAATGGAGATATTGGTTTGGTTAAGTGTTTGCCCTGGAAATTATGAAGAATTGGCAAAATTTTAGGGTTACAGGCTTCACTGAGGCGAAGAAGAAGCTTCGCCGGCAAAGACGTGTTGTGGCCCGCGGTGACTTGCTGGAGTGTTTCGTCGCGGCGATGGGTCGGCTAAAAAATTTATGGAAGTTTAGATATTTTCTTCCCTAAGGGCAATTTGACCATTCTACCCCTAATTAGTGGGAAAAGTGGGGAGTAAAATGTAAGGAAATTTCATGAAAAATATGTTGGTATGGGGGTGTGATTGTGATGAATTAAAGGATATAGATGGAATTCCCAAGGAAGAGTAAGGGCAATATGGGAATGCTTGCCCATAAGTTGAGTTAAAAGGATTTAAGTCATTGCAAACCTTTCATTCTTCTTCTCCACCGCCATTCTCCTTTCCTACTTCCTCTCAACTCCTCTTTCATTAGTTCAAGGATTTTTAGAGGNATAAAAAGTGATTAAAGATGGGGTTACATAAGAGTTAAGTGAATTTAAAATAGCACTTCAATAACAGCACCGATCTAATGGTTTATAAAGAGGCAATGTTAGCCTAATAAATTTAGTCGATGGCCAAAGTTTTCCAGTTTAGTTCAGATTAATTCATACCATGATAAGACTGAATATAATGCAAAACTTTAATTTCTGGGTCAATCCCTCACAAAAGATGATAGAGACTCAATTTGTCACCAAAATATGCACATAAGTTTACAGTATTGACTCCAACTCTTTAATTTCTGGGTCCAATGTTTCTGCTTCTTCCTCTTCATCTGCCTGTCTATAAGCATCAGCTATAGCTTTTCCTTTATTTAACACTTCAGAAGGGACAGTTTGGAGGAGGCTGTAAAGAGAGAGAACATCAAAAACTGATGTTTGTCTAGACAAGTATAGGTAATCAATAGCTAAGAGAGAAAACCGAAGAAAGAATGATACAAATTTTTTGTTTGTTTTGAGAGCTAGCTAGCGAATTCTGTATTTAGAATCACACTTTTAATGAAGGTTCTAATAAAGAGCAAACAAAGCATCACCTGTCCAGTGCATTAAGAGCAGTTCCAATCTTCGCTTTCATTGATTTCACAGAAGTTTCTCCATCATTTCTGGATGCACGCAGAAACAAAGAATCCAGATCTTCCAAGGCCCTTCAAGAGTAGATAACTGGATCAGAAAATGGTTTAATTATTGCTATTGCTGCAGAACTTTTAACAGAATGAACTCAGTGCGAGCCATACTGTACACAAAGCATCCAAGCTTTCATGAAAAACAGCAAAATTTCAAGTAAAGTAGTTAAATGGTAAATAATTGCTTGTACAGATTGTTAAAATATTAACATGCTAACTCGGTTGACTTTATAGATCCTCAAACAAACCTTCACTTGGAGCATTGAGTCACATCATAATAATGAGAGCTACCTCATCAGACAATTATAAGTGCATTGACTGTAATTAAGAACACCGGATTACAAAGCAAAATCATGAGTTGCAGGGAGAAGATAAACTTATGATACCTGAGGCATTGATCAACATCATTGAAAGCAGATTTACCATTTCCAGCATCTGAAGCATACTGTGCTACCTGAAGTTCGAAGAAAATTTCCAAACCTCAGGAAGTCATGTACACAAAAACTGCCATAAAGCAAATCAAAATGAGAATATAGAGTGATGCTTTTGATAATTTTTTCCAACATAGGCTCTAAGATGAAACAATCTTTAATATAACAATATACGATTTTGTTGTGGATGAAAATTTATGAAAAGCATGCACAAATGATAGGTACTAAAAATGGTGGTCACACTATACTGAGTCAGTATTTTTTGATTCCTTAAAGGGATGGTCTAAAGCAGCATGGGCCTAACACCATACTGAGTTAGAAAGTGTTTTACTTAAATTTTCAGGATTATTGCCCTCCAAGAAAGAAAACTTTATTTTTTTCACAAAATATCCAACTCATAAATTTCACATTGCAAATTCTTGGGCATTACTTCTAGGAATTTCAATTATTTCCTTAAATTATTATTAATACTAAGGAAACACATATTTGCATGCACTCTCATTTTACATAGCAGTTGGTGTTCATCTTTCCTTCTGAACAGGTGTGGATTCTCATTAGATTGAATAACATAAGATGGAACAAGTTATAATGGCATTCTGAATCCAGAACATTTCTTCACTTCAAAGACCGTCTCAATACCTAAACATATTGCAATTTCAATCTCACCACAATTCTACCGATCATAACTCAACTGTAAATTTTGTATCAGCCCATATTCATTGCAATATNACAAATGATAGGTACTAAAAATGGTGGTCACACTATACTGAGTCAGTATTTTTTGATTCCTTAAAGGGATGGTCTTAAGCAGCATGGGCCTAACACTATACTGAGTTAGAAAGTGTTTTACTAAAATTTTCAGGATTATAGCCCTCCAAGAAAGAAAACTTTATTTTTTTCACAAAATATCCAACTCATAAATTTCACATTGCAAATTCTTGGGCATTACTTCTAGGAATTTCAATTATTTCCTTAAATTATTATTAATACTAAGGAAACACATATTTGCATGCACTCTCATTTTACATAGCAGTTGGTGTTCATCTTTCCTTCTGAACAGGTGTGGATTCTCATTAGATTGAATAACATAAGATGGAACAATTTATAATGGCATTCTGAATCCAGAACATTTCTTCACTTCAAAGACCGTCTCAATACCTAAACATATTGCAATTTCAATCTCACCACAATTCTACCGATCATAACTCAACTGTAAATTTTGTATCAGCCCATATTCATTGCAACATTGGTCCTCATCCGTAATATATAACAGAGTTTATCTCACAGCACCTCAATTTAGGATTCTTACCATTCTTGCTATCTCACTGTAGTGGCTGTATTCTAGTTAAATAGCAAATCAAATAAGTCACATATTTGGTTGAAACCATATCAGATCTACTGAACATATATAATATTAATGATAATAATCATAATAAAGCTTCTTCAATGTCAACATGAGTGAACAGGGATCCACTTTATTTCATCGTCAGGCTCACTTTAAATAGAATTTAGCTCCTTCAGATTCAAACTCTCCCCAAAGGTTTCCACAGTACAGCTTCCCAGAAGTGTCCGGTCAATTCAGTTCCCCAAACCGAAAGCAGAAAGTTAATGCAGAAGTTTCCATACAGTAGCAATTCTCAACCCTCCTTTCTCTTCTGTTTTTATGAACCAAAATTGTAGACTTTTCATTATTAGAGCATTTCTAGAAATGCCTTTGACTAATTAAGAGACTGCACTAAGAAGTCCTAACTTCTTTCCATTAAGCATGTGGTCAACAAGGTTGTAGATACTAAATATAAACCAAGAGTTGATTAACTAGCTTGAGTCAAGGACAAAAAATGTTTCAAGAATTATGTAGATAAAAGTATAGCAGGAGAAGATTGAAAGCCAAAAAGGCAAAAAAGGCAAATTTGAAGAATATTCAAACAATAGAAGAAAGCTTCAACTTACTGCACGGATATTTACACGCAAAGATCCAGCTGGTCCAGAACGTAGTTGTGACCGGCAGCTAGCATATTCTGGCTTATCAACCTCCAGTGTTTTCTCTATAGAAGTCAAAAGATGAGTATAAGGTATAAGTATCACACACCCAATATATTTTGTGTGTGTGAGTATAATTATTTTCCAAAGCCTAATTGAGGCCACATTTCTCATGTCTCATGTAAAGATAAGTGTATATGTAAAGCAACAACAAGAACTTAGGCCACGATAATAATCAAGAAATATTATATTGAACATCATAGGGAAATACATTTTAATACATCATTCACAGAAAACAGGAAACAAATATCTGAAATCAAGTTACCCCTGAATCAAAAAAGCCACTAATAACACTAACTTTCAGAACTCAGGGATAAGTTAGTAATATTTTTTTTTTCAGAAATTAAGATTTCAGCTTGATCAACATAAGATAAGAAAAACATTATTTATATAATAGCCATTGCAAGGAAAGCAAGAAGAAATGCTTATCAAAATATTCATTTTGCTGAGTAGCTTACAGCACATTACAATAAAGAATCATTCCTTCTTAGATAAATAGATGATTGATGTGTCATAGATACAAAAGACGTTGACAATTGTAGACAACACATGCCACAAAGTTAAATAGCAGCATAAAATTATAGATAATAGAGAACATGCAATATTTAACTGTAAGACCTAATAATTTCAGAATAAAAGAAATATTGAATTAACAAGAAAATCTACTACCTAAGTCCTTAATCTGCAATTGTGTTAGTATAAGAGGGGGTACATAAACCTCTAATGGGTCCAGCTTTTTCCTGTGAAATATGTATAGAACCAAAAATTAGTTGTGATTTGTAATCCTTTCAAAACACAAAAAGATAAATGAACAACAAGCCTGCGATCAGGTCCAGAAAATCCCAACAGACATCCAAATGTTGAGGAAGTTTCAACAAACACTAAATTAAATAAGCAAGAAAAGAAGAAAATCCCAAATTCCCTCATTTCACCACTTTGATCGTGCAGAAATAACCGGTGAGAAGTTTAAAATGATATGCAGAACGTATGGAGAGAAATCGTACATAGTAAGCCTCCATTTTGTTCAATGCACATCATGGCACCAACATTTGGAGTCTAGGACCCGTAAGTAGTAAGACAAAGGTAATAGCCAATATATAAAGTTCTCAAAACGAGCCTGGAACGTGTGGTCTCCACTATTAAGTTATCAGCATCCGGAAATTTAAACATATGAGTTTCCCTATTTTACGACCATAACTCAACCAAGAAGAATCAACTGAAAATTAGAACATGCCAAGTCATTACTTTTTCACATATTTATCCAACAAGCTGCCCCCAATAGCATCTGCAACCAAAACACCAATAGTCAGATTCATGGCCAATATATGATTCCGTCTCTTTTCTACAAAATATAAAACAAGAAAAAACACAATAAGTAATCTACACCATTTCAACAAATAAATTTTCGGAGAAACAGTAAGTAAAAATACTTTTGGAACTGTCTTTTGACACTGTTATACCTTATAAGTGCTTATAAATAGTAGAAAGCTTTTTTTTTTTTTTGTCCACTTTTGAGATTTAAAAAAGTGATTTTTGTAGAATAATCTGATGGGGTACTTTTCTAAATAAACAAAATTTGAAGCGCTTCCAGCAAATACATTTGGTTAGTTTTTTTTTTTTTTTTTTAGAAGCGTATTAGGTGTTTTTCCAAAAAGCAGTTTTAAGTGAATCAATAGAAAACTATTTTACTCAAAAGCACTTTTTACGAGAATAATCTCAAACATACAAAATTACTCACAAGTCACAACAACATACTCCTTCAATAAACTAATCCTAAATTCCCAATTCAGTTAATCATTTTATACAAATCCCATAATCCATTACCATCTTAACTGTCAAAACTTAGATAATTAAGCTTTGTTTGGATAATGAAATTAAAGCACACCAAAAAACTGAAAAAGGTATTCCACAACATGATGACATGACTTTGGTCTCAAGTTATATCCAAACACAACTTTACGTCGACTCTAAGATAACAAATTTCTGCTCAATTTGTCTTCCCATGTGCAACTCATCCTTTTTTGAATTGGCTTTAAAATTTATTATAAAAAAAAAAAAACCATTAATAATAGTTATAAATCCATTAAACATTAAATTAAGAAAAATGGAAGTAGGCGTACCATTAGGGAGAAAGAGCAACTGTGAAAGGGCGAGAGAGAAGGAGACCAATCGGCGGCTCTCCCGCCATTCAGGAGGCGATTTCAATGCGCACCTCACTGGTGGTCTGTTCGTTTTTGCGGCGGCATAGTTTTGGGAGAGAGAGCGAGGCAAGGATGAGAAAGAGAAACCAAAAGGAGTAGTGCTAGAGTGCGCTGGAGTGCGTAGTGTTGCCATTCCGACAGAACATGAGATTGAGACTCACCACGCCGAGGAGAAAACAGTGTATTGCTCTTCTCTTATCCGTTTGTTTCTCTTCCTGTCTTAGACCGCCACGTCATCTTGTATTAAAATGAAATATTAATTAAATTCGTGAAAACGAAAATCAGTAGAATGGATTGTTGGTAGTTTTGGATTCCGCCACGTCATCTTGTATGAATTAGAATAAACAATCATTTTAGGGCTCTAAATATAATATGAATGGTGGTTAGGGTAAAATCGTAATTGAGAAGACAGCAGGCACATGAGCTGGGTTGAACCCGAGACCCGGTTGGTGGCAGTGTCGGCGATTAATATTCAAATAAATACATGAACAATAATTATAATAGTAAAGCAACCAAAATGAAATAGACATTGCACTCGACTCACTTTGCTCGTCCTCTGTTACATCTCTGATTCTCTCTCATACCTCTCTCTCTTCAAAATTTTCTGACATTCTTACTAACACCACCGAAAATGGTAAAAGTTTTGTGGCTTCTTTTAGCCCCATTTCTCTTCGTTTCAGCTACTGCCAACATTCAATGTAAGTCCTCTTCCTTTCTCTTATACTTGGTGAATAATTTAGTACATTATGGGTTTGAATAATGGTTATCAGTTATTACACGTGCTTGATCTGCTTCACAACTCTGTGAATCTTTATTTTTTTTCTTACTTTTTTATGTGTTTATCTTCGTTAATTAAATGATGTAGTTATTTGCTTCTCTTGAGATCATTAATGCTCTGTTAATTTCATCAATGCTTATGCCATGCTTAGATTTGGGCAGATCTCTTACTTAAAAGACTAACTGACAAGTCTTTAACTCTTTTTTCTTTAATCCTTTTTACTTATTTCTCTACTGCTGTTTGGTTTTTCTTTTTCTTTTCTCTTTTTGGGTTTTTTAAAGATTTAGGTGAGGCAGTTAAAAATTTGATCTTTTGTAATGTTCAGAAAACCAGAGAAGGTCAAAGAACATTAAAGTCAACCATTTTTTAACAATGTTGATTGGCTGAGCTTTGGAAACTAAAACCAAAATGACCTTAACTTATGCTGATGTTTCTTTCCCGTGCATACTTTATTTCTAATGCTAGTATGATCTATTGATGTCGACATGCTGGTTACTAACTAATCTTTCTGAGGCACAGTATAGAGTGGTTATGATGAATAAGGTAAGGATGGGGTTTCAAAATCCAACATCGTTGTAAAGACTCACTTCCCATTAGTAAAACTGTAGTAGGTCTTTTGGTTTGAAAAGCCTAAGAACAAAACCGTAAGGGTTGTGTATCTAAAATGATTAATATCTTGCTTAAGGAAATTCATATTGTTACAAATGTTTTTACAGTGTGCTCGAGTGTAATGGACCCTTCGATTATGCGATGTCTATTAGGCTAGTATATGAGTCTTTGTTTGCTTTAACAAAGTAAATCCTCATGAGGATGCCAAGTTCATCAGACTAGTTTATAAGCATTATTTGTGTCAAATAAGTAGACGTGTTTTGGGTAAAAAAAATGTTTGTGTGAAGTCCCAAAGCAAGTCCGGTGAGCATGAATGACTCTTGTGTGAACTTGTTCGGGTTCATATTATTACCCTGTGGGTACCTATGCTTAAAGAAGGAAGCACATTATGTGAAAGGGAGCACAATTTGTGCAAAATATAAGCAGCATAGATGACTAAAGAGAGAGTTGAAGAAAGAAGAGATATTATGCTATATCGTTCATCCTTTATGCCTGGGACAGTTGTCATATTTACTCTCGAAGTTCTGTATCCTAAAGCATCTTTCTGAAGAGCTCAGTGTGACGGTGTGGGTATTACACACATTTACTTCGCATAACGACAGGATAGTGTTTTAGTTTCCATGTTTGAGTTAGGAATTTTGCTTGACAGAGTGAATCTTTTCAATCTGATTCAGTCTTTGGAAAGTGATTAACAAGGAAACTTAAAAATGCCATGGCCTATGTTCATGGATACTGAGAAAGGCTTTGTTTCTATTTTTGAATTATTCAGGGGTTTATTTCTGTCTATCTGCCTCTCACCATTTGATTTAGATTTAAGCCGTCCTTGTGCTTTTTGCAGTTCCTGTCCTTTGTGCAATTAATACATTTATCACTCTTTTCGTTTTTCCTACACAATTTATAGTTATGTAGCCAAGAGAACCAAGCCACATCTGCGAATGTGAGGACTTTAATGTAACACCTGAACAGTGATAGGGCATTGTAATGCTAACACCAATCTCCTATACTCTTTTACTCCTTATTTTGACAGATATATTAATTTTTGTTATTTAATTTTGACAATGGCATGTTGATAGGGCAATGGTACAGGATAATGGTTAAATTATTTGCCAATGATAAAAGTTTGATAGGCACATATGAACATGAGAGAAAAGAGTGAACAACAATGTCTATGATAGATCATACTTAGCATTTCTCCTAATGTGATATTTTGACTCAGAGGATTGATGCGACCTCATAAAGGGGAAAAGTAATTTTGGAGACTAGTGAGTTGCTAGCATCAAAACTTTTACTCATTCACCAATCACCATGCGATGAAGAGTAGTTGTTCACCACTCTTCCATCGGTCTAGGTTGTCACAAATAACTATTTCAATCAATTTGGGTTAATTTAAGAAAAAGAGTTGAAGCCATTATTGAACTGAAACCAGAATGAAGCCCTCACTAACATAGTGATGTCAAAGTTTACTGAAAGAAGTTGGCTTTGGAGAAGTCTCCCTGGATATTTCTAAAGTTCTTTTGATGGAGGAGCTCAAGAGCAGAAGAAGAGTAAGATAAAGAATATAGAAATAGAGAGAAAAAAGGAGAATAGAATCAAGGAGAATAAGTAGGAAAAGGAGAAGTCCAGAAGAGTTAGAAGAGCTAAGAGAGAAATATATAGCCTGTACGGAGAGAACTAATACTCATATTAAATAATCAATTGAAGTCGGTAAGCTTATGAAATGGAATCCTAATCCTATGCTATGCTTCCTAGATCACATTTGCTCAGCGCTTTTTCGGCCTTTGGACATTTATCTCATGATTTAGGAACTGTCACTGGGAATCTATGAAACATCTGAAACATTTAAGTACTCCAGAGATTTTATGAGTTACAGAAATCAAATTATGTCGTAAACTATGCATCATTTTCTTAGTGTACTGAAAACTGTAAAGCATTTCTCTTCTTTTTCTATTCTAACTTCTTTAAGTTTTATATCTTTGATGTATTTCTATGATTTTTTCAATAATGATTAGATGGCACTTAACTGGTAACCCGTAATTCTGGGATAGCAGTATGAACTTAGATATTTCAGACCTAAAGAATGACAATTATAGTTGTCTGTCATGATGGCACGATTCTATTTCTTCTTCCAAATCCATGATTTAATTGTGTCATTATGCCGAGCACATCTTTATTGTGACATTTCAAATGACTACAGCAAAAGTAACCGACAACCCTGCTGATGAGTTGGTGGCTGTGCTCAACAAAAATAGAACTGCACACAAGGAGTCATCCCTCTATGATAATCCAGGCCTGGCGTGCATTGCTTTGCAGTATATAAAAGCATATGAAGGCGACTGTAGTGCTGTAGGAGGGACAGATGCCAAGAAACCTCCTGATTCTTCATTTGCAGACACTTTTGCCCCCAACTGTGGTGTTCTTGCGTCATCCCTCTCTCAAATTACTGGTCGTTTTCTAGGTTGCCACTCATCTTATGTCGATGCTTCTAAAGCTTTTTCGGATATCCTGATGGAAAACAGCAAAAGCTTAGATATTCTATACAGTAAGAATCACACCGAAGTTGGGGCTGCTGTGACTGGTACCGATGGTGGGTCTCCCTATTTCTGGTGTGTCTTGTTTAGCAATGGCAAACATAATGCAAGCTTTCTTTTTGAGGATGGTGTGGCTAAAATATCAAGGCCTGGATGTTTTAGCGGCGCTAACGATGAATGCAGTGGTGTCGATGATTTGCATCAACCCCATCGTCTATGGCCATATGCCATTACAGCTTTGATTGCAGTGGCTTATGGGTTTGGTTTATGATCTTGTTTAGAAGAATCCCACTTGTTTTTTTAGGCCTCTTTAATGTTGTTGTATTTGGCCTCTGTAATTTGTTCTATTTATCAATTCCATTGTATGCAAATTCATGTCATTCATTTGTTCTAGTAAAATTCTTAATGTATAATTGTATGTTATAGAAAGTATGTTTTGTGATTGTTAAGACTTATTTTGGGCTCATGAGGAGTTATAAAAATAAATAGTGAAAATGTTTAATATGGGAAATTGAAAAATGAGAAAGAAGCATACTTTGGGAGACCCATACTCAACTCACCTTTCAACTGTGGGAGAAGTGTTTTCTTTTCAAAATGTTCTCATATCAAAATGCCTTCACTTTTTTGTTTTCATCACGTATTTCTCGGCAAGAAGTCTCTCTTTTTCCCTTTCCCTATATTCCTTTCTATTGTCCTCCGTAGCTTTTTGACATTAACTTTATCTCTAAATCTATGAATTTAATGAAACGACTTGGAAATGAAGCCATCAAAAATTTAAATTAAAACAAAACTCATAACTCTACCTAACCTTACTTTTTAATTATTTTTAGGATTTTTTTTTTTTTTTTTTTTTAAAAAGTAAACCTTAATGTGTTTTACTTTTTTTTATTGAGCACTTGTTGGATTCTAAAATATGAGTCTAACCCCCGAGTGTTTGGCCTTTTGTTTAATGAATACCGATTGGTTTTAAAAATACCCTAACCAAAAATGCTCTATCTGTCGAACAATTGTATCGAAACACGTGAAGGCCGCCACGTTGGACGATTGAATACTGACATAAATGGACGGCCATCCAACGGTTTCGGACGGCCGTCCATACATCCTGGACGGTCGTTCATAGTGCAACGGACGACCGTCCATAAAAAGTTGTTTTGTTTAAAAAAAAAAAAAAAACAATGGACTGCCGTCCCCATTTTGTGAAATTTTTATTTTTTTAAAATTTAATGTACACATGAACGCCAGTCCATCTAGTGTGGACAGCCGTCTGCATTTCATGGACTGCCGTCCATATTTGTTGAAAAAAATATTTTGTTTAATTAATATTAATGAATGGCTTGTCTAATACGCTTCATTTGTAAGCGACAAATTTTTTTTCTTCTCTTCTCCTTCTCCTTCGTCTTCGTCATTTGTTTTTCTTGTGTTCTTCGTTTGTGCCATTTGTTTTTCTTCGCTTCTCCTTCGTCTGCGTGTTGTGATTCCTTGCTTCGACGCCGGTAGCTTCCTCAACAGCCAAGCACCATCAACAATACCTCTTTTTATAAAGATAACTGAGAAACAAAAATAAATATCAAATTTTTTAAAGCTCGGAATTTTTTGTTAAGGTAAAGAATTTTTGACTTATTTTATATATTCATTTAGTTTCATATTCTATTTTGGATTGAATATATGTTTGATAGATAATATTTGTTGGCGACTGTTGTGAACTAGATCCGTGAACGCGAAAACTAGTATTAGTTGTGCATGAAATAACGAAATATGGAAGAGTCTAGTTTGCCTCGTTTCAATGATGTTGAGGTAAATTGTGTTTGAAACTTTTTTAAATGTGTTGTATTGTATTGTTTATTATGATGTGTTGTATTAGCACATTCTAATTTTCTTTATTATAAAACCATTGAATCAGGAAAATTAATGTGATGAATTAGAAGATAAGGGATGTGCAGAGGAAGAAGTAGAGCCTCATATTGGAATGGTGTTTGATTCAGTTGATAGTTTGGTGAAGTATTACAGAAGGTATGGGAATAAAATGGGTTTTGAAGCAATGATACGTATGTCAAAGAAAGGAGATGATGGAGAGATGAGATACGTGACAGTGGCGTGTTCTTGTTCTGGAAGGAGAGGAGTAATGCAGAAATACCTTGAAAAAACAACCTGTTGCAAAAACAGATTATAAGAGTCGGATTAGTGCAGCTTTGAATGGTGAATACAAATGGGAAATTAAATCAGTTGTGCTTGAACATAACCATGATCTTACAAGTCTGACGAAAAGAAGATATTTCAAGATAAACCAAACGATACAGCCTTTTGTGAAAAGGAGGCTTGAAGTTAATGATCAGTTTGGGATTAAACCTTGTAAAAATTTTCAGTCATGTTTAGTTGAGGCAAGAGGTGTAGAGAATTTGACATTTCTACAAAAAGATTGTAGGAATTACATTGAAAAAGTTAGAAGGCTACGACTTGGAGTTGGAGATGTTTCGACAGTACTAGAGTATTTTATGAAAATGCAAAAGGAGAATTCAAATTTCTGGTACATGATTGATGTAGATGAAGAGAGTCGATTAAAGAATGTGCTATGGGTTGATGCTAGATGTAGGGCCACATATAAAGATTTCGGTGATGTTGTGACCTTCGACACAACGTATCTGACGAACAAGTATTATATGTCATTTGCTGCTTTTGTGGGGGTTGATCATCATGGACATTCGACATTATTAGGTTGTGGGTTAATTTCACATGAGGACACACGGACATTTGTATGGCTATTTCGTTCTTGGCTTGAATGCATGGATGTTGCTCTTAATGGAATTATCACTGACCAAGATAAGGTCATGCAAAATGCAATTGAGATTGTTTTCCCCGGTACAAGACATAGGTTTGTGGCATATAATGAAGAAACTGCCTGAGAAGTTAAGAGGGTATAACGAATATGAAACTATAAAGTTTACGTTACAAAATATTGTGTACGATTCGTTGACACGTGAAGAGTTCGAAGAACGGTGGAACAAATTCATTGATGTGTATAACCTTCATGAGAATGAATGGTTATCTGGATTGTATAAAGAAAGAGTACGTTGGGTGCCTGCATTTCTTAAAGATACTTTTTGGGTAGATATGTCTACTACCCAACATAGTGAAAGTATGCATACATTTTTCGATGGATATGTAAATTCCAAAACAACATTGAAACAATTTATGGAACAATATGATAATGCATTGCGAGATAAAATGGAAAAGGAAAGGGAGGCTGATTTTAAATCTTTCAAGTCTTGGATACCATGCATAACTAATTACCCCATTGAGAAACAATTTCAAAATGCATACACAACTGTACAATTTAAAGAGTTTCAAGAAGAGATTGCGAGGAAGATTTATTGTGAATTATCTTTTTTGAAAAAGTCCGATTCGTATGAGGAGTATCAAGTTTTAGAAGATGTTTGGTTTGGAGATAGTAATCGGTGTGTTCCCTTTCTGGTATACTTTGAAGAAAGTTCATATGATATTCGTTGTAATTGTCATTTGTTTGAGTTCAAAGGGATTTTATGCAGACATGTCATTATCGTGTTGATTCATAAAAGGGTTTCACACATTCCAGATAAGTACATTCTACGGCGTTGGAAGAAAAACATAAAAAAGATGTACAAAAATCAAGGTAAGTTATAATAGGTGGAGCACAAATGTTGAAGGACAGCGTTTTGAGAAGTTGTCTAATCTAATGCTGACAGTAGCTGATATGACATCAAACAATGAGGAAGACTGTAACATGTTGATGGAATTGATGACTGGCATGAAAAATAAGTTGGAGCAGAAGGAAAGTGAGGGGAGGCTTGGTAGTAAAGAGGAGGACAATCTTCCGAAAGAGGGGAATAGTCTAATTATTAATCCACGGGTAGCTCGCAGCAAAGGTTGTCCTCCATGCAAAAGAAAGCAATCGAAAGTTGACGAAATTGTACGTAGGGCTAAAAATAAAAAATTGCGAAAACAAAGACTTGGTATGAGTTATACACCCATTCTGACATGATATTTGTTTTTTAAACATTATTTACTTATTTGAAGTTTATAATAATATTTACTTGATTATTAATGTGTTATGCTACTTTATAGGGAAAGAATCATCAACAGAGTGAGACAACATTGCTGAAAGTGTACCGGGAACTCAAGTGTTGTCAAATGATATTATTGCAACTCAGGTATGTGTTATGTATGTTGTATAATTGTAAAAACCTTAAGTTTTCTATAACATGTGCTAAATTGTGGTTATTAAACATTGACAGTTGTCCACTGGTCCAGTTTAGAATCTCGCAGGAAATAGTAATTTATGTACTGGACAGGAGGATGTAAATGATGAACATGTTTCATTGGGAGAGATTTGATATCATTAACCGGTTAGAGCATATACATTTGTATTCGGTAGAAATTATTCGCGTTGTGGTTAATTTCTGACGAATCCAGTTGAGCTATATGTTGGATCAATTGTTTTGTTTTTATTATTTTTGTTGCTAGTTGGGTAAGAGTAGACTGTTGGTTGTAGGGTGCTGAATTCATAATAATAACGTAAATGTATATATTATCCTTATTGTGAATGTTTTCAGTATATATTATCGTTACATTTGAGTATATATTATTCTACATTTTATTTCAGATTTTAATTTTGATATGTCTTTTGGCATGTTTAGTATTACATATACATGAACATTCAGATATGTATTGAACAATAATTAATGATATAATACTATGGCAAATATAATCTTCATACATAACATTTATACTGAGAATTAACATTCATATGATATTGGAGAAGTTCAGCTAATTGAGAACATATTGTGAAATCAAACTTTATTAATTAACATATTTGTGTACATATAGTTTAGTATTTGAACTACACATAATTACAATTAACATTCATAGTGCGTTCCCCAAAGATGTTGAGAAGGTGGAGGTTGTTCAGTAGTTCTTCATCCTAGTGTAAGGGATGGAGGCTGACTGGAGGAGGACGAGGCTAGTGACAATTTCTTCATCATGTTGGATATTTCTGTCATGCGTTCCCCAAAGATGTCAACCGTTTCTTCTATTCTTGATGCAAACGAGTTGAAATCACTTTGCAATTAATCATGTTGTTCCTGCATTTTCCTCTCAATACATGAAAAACTCTCTTCTTAAAACCTTTCGATCCGATCAATTCTGCTTACTATTTCGTCTAAGGTATGAGAAGACATTTCTTGTACATTCTGAGAAGATCCAGGTTCAATACTTGTTCTTCTTCTTTTGCGCACATAGACTCGTCATTTATTTTCCCCTTCTGGAATAGGGACACCTTCTCGAACCATTGCCTCTTCCTTCATTTCAT